AAATAAAATGTTATTAAGGAAATGATAAGGAAGTGGCCGGGCACGGTGGCTAACACCTGTAATCCTAGCACTTTGGGAGGCTGAGGCCGGGAGACTGTTTGAGCCCAGGGGTTCAAGACCAGCCTAGGCAACATAGCGAGACCCCATCTCTAATATTTAAAAAATTTTAATAACATTTAAAAATATATATAAGGAAGAGAAAATATATTTACTGTTCGTTAACTGGAAGTGGATCATCATAAAGGTCTTCATCGTCTTCACATTGAGTAGGCTGAGGAAGAGGAGGAGGAGGAGGGGTTGGTCTTGTGTCTCAGGGTGGCAGAGGCGATAGAGAATCCACATGGAAGTGGAGCCCCGCCATTCTAGCCCATGTTGTTCAAGGGTCAGCTATTGTTAGATGTGCCACATAAGGAAGTCCAGGCTGGGCGGTCAGGAATCACAGTCACAAAAGGGAGAAGCTGTGATGTGCACAATTTAATGCAGACAAATAATATTTCAGTGGCAACAGATCTTTTTGATAGAATTTATATGGAAAAGAATTGATCCATTTGAAAATCATTTCAATGAAAGTAGAATGGAAAATATTAGAAATAATTCATCTGTGTTGTATGGAAAAATGGATCAAGGGATTAGGTTTGCTTAACAGTTCAACTCGGAAGATTCTCAACCAAAATTCTCCAGTATGGGTACAATTCTGTATCAGTTGAAACTCTTTGGATGTGTAAGCAGTTCATACTGCCTTGGGAATGAAACGGCAGGATCACAATACCCGATACTGGCCTGGTACCATGAAACAGGTGTTACTCTTGGTGGCATTTGGCTAAGGCTCGTGTGGCATCTGGGAGCACTTTGGAGGGCCACCCCTCAGCTCACACACATCTCAAAGGACAGTGGCCTTAAGCTACAAGGGAGGCAGAGGGGGCTGTGAGTGAGGGAGGGAGGTGCTACCTGGCATGGGCGGCCGAGGCTGGGAGCTGGGTGAGGGATGAGATTCCTCCCAGGGTGATCCAACCAAGTGGCTGAAAGGCTGTGAGGCAGAAGGATGTTAAACTGTTATGCAAAGGCTGAGTTTCCAGGTGCCTTAGTTTGATGCCTCCCTACCCCATTGTCCACCAGACCCCTCTGAGAAAGGGTCTAAAGCAAATAAAATTCAAGTCAGGTGTCAGTGACCTTGGTTAAACCTTAACGAGGGACATAAGTCAGGGAGAGCCCTAGTGAAAGCTGGTAGTCAGTCAGAGGCGCTGCAATCAAAACGGCAAATGCCACTGGGCACAGTGGTTCACGCCTGTAATCTCAGCACTTTGGGAGGCTGAGGCAGGCGAATCACCTGATGTCAGGAGTTCAAGACTAGCCTGGCCGACATAGCGAAACCCCATCTCTACTAAAAATATAAAAATTAGCCAGGCATCGTGGCGGATACCTGTAATCCCAGCTATTTGGGAGGCTGAGGCAGGAGAATCACTTGAACCCGGGAGGCGGAGGTTGCAGTGAACTGAGACTGTGCCACTGCACTCCAGCCTGGGCGACAGAGTGAGACTTCGTCTCAAAAAAAAAACAAAAAAAGGCAAATGCTCAAATGAGTCCTTGAAGGAGGACAGATCTAGGGTCTGTTCCAATGGTCATCCTCTACATTGACCCTGAGCCCACACAGCTGTCATTCGAGAGTGTCCACATGTACTGTGGATGTACTGGATCTGGAGAAAACATTTCATCCCGTTCTTCTCTCTTGCAGGTTTCAAGTGCCCCATTTGCTCCAAGTCTGTGGCTTCTGACGAGATGGAAATGCACTTTATAATGTGTTTGAGCAAACCTCGCCTCTCCTACAACGGTAAGGGCTTGGCTTGCCTCACCAGCCTCCAGAGCATCCGTCGGGGGAGCCGGCCAGTTCTGGGGGGAGCCTCCAGTCGAGGGTGGCTCTGGGCCGTATTTTCACCCTGCCCTCTGGCAGGTGTCCTTGAGTGGTGGTGAGGAAGTGGACTGTTCAGGGAGCCTTGCTGCTCAAGTCAGAGAGGAAGAGGAGCAGGACAAGGAAGGAAGGCCCAGGGGTCAGGTCCGAGGCCTGGGAAGGCTCTCAGGTTGCTCAGTTAGTCCCCTGCCTCTCTGCAACTCAGTTCTGAGGACTTTGGCTGGGAGATGCAGCCATTCCTTCACCCGTCACACACTTGACTGTGGAAGGCCCCAAGACAGCCAGATGTCCTCCACGGCTCAGAGGAGGGGCCCAGAGCAAGCACCCACCCTCCTTGGGGAGGTGGGTGCTGTGTGCTGGTGGCATGTACAGAGTGCCGGGAGGCTGGTCATCTCATTGTCATGTTCGAACTCGGACGAACACCTGATTTAGTCCTATGACTCCACACCAGAGAGCTTGACGGGGAGTATGTGTGACGTAGAGATGTTCTGGGGATTGAAAATGCGGATGGGCCACCTTGCTGCTCCACCCCGGCCATGTTGCCTCCTACCTTGGAGGCTGCCTCAGAGCTGAACAGCAAATACCGCAGTGGGTAGGATCCTGAGGGCAGGGGATTTCAAAACACCCAAGTTAACCTAACAGGACGCCTCTGGGGAACAAAATGACTGTCAACATCTGCCTAGCATGCTGTGCATAAGACTTTGGAGTTCAGCTGATGTGAGTTCGAATCTCCCTCTACCACTCACTGTCTACAGTCTTGCAGTGTACACTCACTGTCTACAATCTCAGCTTAGCGGAGCCTCAGTTTTCTGGTCTGTAAAATGTGGATAGCAATACTTGGTTCATAGGATTGTCAGAACTGGGTAAGAGATGGCACATGAAGCTCTTTGGTACAGAGCCTGGCACATGGTCAGTGCTTGGGAAGTTATAGCTGCCATGAAAGATGTGAGACCTTCTATAGGTTTCTTTTTGCAGTTTTCCAGAGCCCACAGAATTCTGCTCAGTGCTGCTCAGCCCATGCCACGGCTGACCCTTGGTTTTCCATGCTTAGTGTTTAGTCTGGTCTCCAAACCATGTTCATCAGAAAACGGCGTCTTCCACTAGAACAGGCAGTGGACCTGAGTGCGCTCCAACCCCGGTCCTGCCCCACCTTCCCAGATTCAAGTCATAGTAGTGGTTGGAAAAAGAGTTCTGGGATTTCTGAGAGCATCTGAGGACTGGATGACTTGCAACCAGCCCGGCAAGAATGTTTCCTGGGGAGACTCTTTTCTGCCCTGCAGCCTCCTCACTCCCAGAAGGCTCTTTCCCCTACAAAGCCTGAGCCTAGGAGGGATCATGGTCTCAGAGCATCTCCTGGGAGGTAACTGACTGATGGCATCCACTCGGGTCTCCTGAAAACTTCTCTTTTAATTACTGGTTCAGCCAAAAGACTCTGGATGCAGGTGGGCATATTACCCACGTGGCTCAGCTCTATGCATCTGTTAGCCCATGCTCAGGTGGGAGGACCAGCACGGCGCTCCCCTGGGCATCATAGCTGTGGTCTGGGAAGCCCCTTTCCTCCCCAGGGGACAGCCCCTCCTTTCTCCTGGGCTGACTGCTGCTGAGCCTCTAAGTCTGTTGTCACATGTGCTTCAGGCTTCGCGTCAGTCCTGTCGCGTGCATGCTGTCAGGACGCTCAGGCTCGGCTTTGTCCCTGTTTGCCGTCTCCGCCTGGGACCAGGGAGGGAGAGGAGCCTTCCCTGCGTCTCACAGCCCTCCCCAGCCACGGCCTCAAAAACCCTATTCACTTCTTTCCCACATGTGTGGAGACCTCATGAAGTCCTCCGTTTGTCCTGTGGGTTGCTAGGGTGTTCTCTGTAGACACTGCGTTTGTTGTAGGAAGAATACAAAGAAGCCTCAGAGGGGCTCAGCCTGAGAAAACCTGGTTCTCAGCAAGAACTTTGCAAGAGCAGCCGTGGAGGACAGAGTGCTCTTGGGCCCCCATGCCCCAAATGCAGAGTTACCCCCACTGCCCTGTAGAGAACAGGGAAGGTGAGCCTCTCCAGCTCCTCTGCCAGAGAACTGCCTGGGACGCCACCATGTGTCCCCATGTCCCCCTCTGTATCAGCACTTGAGTGCCTGGTGCTGTTGGTTCACCCCCCTATACCCCACCACCAGCAGCCTCACCCAAGGCTACAGAAACCACACTGGGAGCCAGGGCCCCCTTAGAGGAAGGGGAGGTTGGCCAGCCAGCCTGAGGCATGACCACTGCTCCTCTGGTTCTGGTTCTAGTTTTTCCTTTGTCCTGGAATTGAGAAGCAGGCCACCTCCTCAAGGGTGTGTGTGTCTCTGTATGTGTATGTGTGTGTGTGTGTGTAAACTAGAAGCTTTAAACCTAAGGATCTTTTTTGCAAAAGCCAGTCCTTTACCACTGGAGGCAAAGAGAGGCCGGTTGTCTCCAGTCCTTCCAGTGGACTTTGTCTCAAGGTGGTGAAGTGCTTTGTTCAGAAACAATGGTCTGGCCCTCTGTGGACACTGTTCATGTGGTATGGACTCCTCATGTTCAGTCTTTGTCTTCTCTGAAGACCCTAAACCTTCCAGGTAAGAAGAGAGCATTTGCTTCCAGGGGTGTATGTGGAGTGGGCATCCCCAGGCACGCCCAGGGCCTGCTCCAGCTCAGAGGGAGCACAGACCGTGGGCCAAGGTTCGGGAGCTCCAATGTTTTCTCCGTGATTTGTCATCATCCCACCCTCACCTGCTGCATGTTACCTTTTCTAATTTAAAAAAAGACTTCAGAGTCAGAGGTGTGAGTTCTTGGAATCTTTCTGGAAAGGGGGTCAGGTGGGGCTTTCTTAGAGAGTGAAGAGATTTCTTATGAAGATTCACTAGAACTCCTGGTCACTCCCCTGAAGACTTCCCATTTACACACACACTTTCTGTGGTTGTTGGCACCAATTGCGGAAATTTTTAGAAAATTTATGATGGTTATATAAGATGAAATTTAGTTAACCACCAAAGGAAAAAAGTAGAAACCTCCTAAATGAGGCAGATAGAAAGTAGTATTTTTCTTATTATGAGGGTTGGCCTGAGTGGTGGGTTGGAAGGCCTCCAGTAGCTGCCTGCCAGCTTAGAAAAAACACAACTTACGAAAGGCAAGACTAGTTTAACTGGTTTAGCCAGTGCCTGATGCTCTGAGGACAGGCACCTGGCTGGGGAGGTTTGGGAATGTGCTGAGCCCCTGCTGGAGGGGCAGGGAAGGGCGGTCGGTCGACCCCACAGCACCGAACGTTAAACCCCCTGTCCTCCTAAGTGCCTTCCTGGAAGGTGAGGATAATGTATAGAAGGGAGGGGGTTTGTTGGTTCTTTTTTGTGGGTAAGATGGATCAACCCGAATGGGTCTTTTAATTTCTTTCCCTTTCTAACATCTCTGTTTGTGACTCTGAGAGTGAGGGACCGTGCCCTAAAGAATACGCACTCACATTTTTACCCTGAGTCTCTGGGCTAGCAGAACAAGCGTGGAGATGGGGGTCTGACTGACGATGCTCTGAATGGAAGGGCATCATAATCCTGTGGAGTCGTGCAGGTGACCTGCTGTTAACTGAAAGCTTAGGGGTCCTCGGCCTAGGGAGAATCTGGGGGGCAGCAGGTTCATTTGCCAGCAGCACCAAGGAGAGCTCCCTTCAGCTGTGTTCTGGGGGGCGGAAGCCCATGCCCAGCTTCTTACGTCATGATGCCCTCTTCCTCCCCTCTGCCAAAGGCCATTGCCCCCATCTTCAAGGCTCTTGAGATGCTAAATGTCACACAAGCTATCTTTTAAAGTCAAAGGAGGCCGGGTGCAGTGGCTCACGCCTGTCATCCCAACACTTTGGGAAGCCAAGATTGCTTGAGCTTAGGAATTTGAAACCAGCCTGGGCAACATAGTGAGACCCCATTTACTAAAAATAAAAATTTTGTCTGACATGGTGGCAAGCGCCTGTAGTCCCAGCTACTCAGGAGGCCGAGGTGAGAGGACCACTTGAGCCCAGGAGATCGAGGCAGCAGCGGGCTTGATCACGCCACTGCACTCCAGCCTAGGCAACAGAGTTTGACCCTGTCTCAAAAAATAAAATATAAAATAAAAATGTGAGAGGATCTGGCTTCCTGGAAAAGCAGAAATGGCTCCGGCTGTAGCCTGCCCTATGCCTGCAGGCACTTCTTTGTCCCGTGTCTCCTCCTCTCAGAGACCCTGTGGTCAGGATGAAAGCACCCTACCCTTTCCCTGCCTGGGGAAACTGGGTGCTGACTGAGGAGTTTGCCCAGCCTTGCTTGGGGCACTGCCCAGAGCCATTGTTAGATGCTATACGGGCTGGAATCAGGCTGGACAGGCTGGAGTCAGACTGCGGAGGTGTCTGTCCTGTTACTCCTCCTACAGGAGGGCAGGGAGGGGCAGGTGACCGCTCACCCAAGATGTCCAGTTGTTGCTGACCAGCTGTACCAACCGCCAGACTGGCCGCTGCTGGGTGCGTGAGGAGCGAAAGCGATGAGGGCAGGCCTGCGGGGCCCTGACACAAGTGGGGAAACCAGAAACAGGTGGCTACAGGAAAGGGGACTGTGGGAGGGAGCTGTGGTGGCCTCAGTAGTAAAGTATGGAGCACTCCAGGCCTGAGCTTTAGTTGACTGTCCCCACTATCCTCATTGCGGGTGACCCAGCTCACCAAAACAATTGTATTGCACTTCAAAGGCCTGGGGAGTTGGATGGGCCACTGCTAGTAGGCCGTGCTCTCTGCTCAAGGTCACCCCGTTGCCTGAAGAGCACAGCCCCCCAGATTTCCCAAAAGGGGAGCTGACAAGGCCTGGCATGGGTGGCACTGCCCTGTCCTGTCCTTGGCAGACTGGGCCAGCAGCTCTGCATGCTGAAGAGGTGGCAGGACCAGGCACTCCACCGCACCTAGGCTGGAAATGAG